TACAATAAATCAAAAAATCAGCCAGGCGTGGTATTGCATGCCTGTAATTCCGGCTACTCGGAAGGCTGAGGCGGAGGATCACCGGAGCCCAGCAGGTCGAGGCTGCGGTGGCCGGGAGCGGCCACTGCACTCCAGTCTGGGTGACAGAGTGAGACTCCAACTCAAAAAAAAAAAAAAAAAAAAAAAGTAGAAGAGGATACCAGGCACAGTGGTTGATGCCTATCATCCCAGCACTTTGGGAGGCTGAGGTGAGAGGATTGCCTGAGTCCACGAGTTTAAGACCAACCTAGGCAACTTGGCGAGACCTCACCTCTACAATAAATCAAAAAATTAGCTGGGCGTGTTCACACACACCTGTAGTTCCAGCTACTTGGAAGGCTGAGGTGGAAGGATCGCCTGAGCCCAGCAGGTCGAGGTTGCGGTAGCCATGAGCAGCATGCCACTGCCCTCCAGTTTGGGGGACAGAGGAGACTCCAACTCAAAAAAAATAAAGAAAAATAAGGTAGAAGAGGAGGCAGGAGAGCTCAGGATCATAAGATAATGTGAACAAAAATACAAACCAGGTATCTCTTTACTCTTAAGGAATGGAAGGTAGGTATGGTTAGCTCTCACTTTCTCCTCCTCCATCCTACTCTTCCCTCTGGTATTGTAGCAAGGAATTAAATTTATTTAAAAAGTTGATAAATCAAGTAACAGAGATATAAGTATACCTTTAAGAATATAAACACATAGGCCCAGCATAGTGGCTCAAGCCTATATAATCCCAGCACTTTGGAAGGCCGAGGTAAGTGGATTGCCTAAGCCCACAGGTTTGAGAACAGCCTGGGTAACGTGGCAAGACTTCAACTCTACAATAAATCAAAAAATTAGCCGGGTGTGGTAGCGCGCACCTATAGTTCTGGCTACTTGGAGGCCTGAAACGGAAGGATCGCCGGAGCCCAGCAGGTTGACGCTGCAGTGGCCGAGTGTGGCACTGCACTCCAGCTTGGGTGATAGAATGACTCCAATTCAAGAAAAAAACCCAGAATACAGACACTAAAAGAATTAAGAGAAATAATATAAGAGCCAGGCTCAGTGGCTCAGCCTGTAATCCCACGCCTTTGGGAGGCTGAGGTGAGTGGATTGCCTGAGCCTGCGGGTTCAAGACCCGCCTGGGCAGGCGAGACCTCATCTCTACCATAAATCAAAAAATGAGCCGGGCGTGGTAGCGCGCGCCTGTAGTTCCAGCTACTCGGAAGGCTGGGGTGGAAGGATCGCCGAAGCCCAGCAGGTCGAGGCTGCAGTGGCTGGGAGTGGGCACTGC